ATTTATAAAAATGATTTGATATATAAGGAATAATATTCAAATTTTTATATTATCATAACTTTGAACAACTTGAGATCATCGTAAACTTGTATTTCGGAGCAACGGTAGGAGACCCCTATCACTGCTCATCGTATACGTATACAGAACCATCGGCCAAGGTTGCGAGAATGATGCCCAAAAGGCATTATTTCTCAGGGCTACATTCGGAGACCCCGGGTGTATGTCGTTAAATTGAATATTTCGTATCTCAGTGGTTTGAGAAAATCTTTTATAAAGTTTTTATCTAACTTATATCTTTGTAGTTTCATATATGGAAATTCATTCTGTGAAAGTGAGATATTGATTTTCGTAAAAATTATATTTTTACGAGACTCCGTCCTATATTGTTTTGTACCACTCAGCAAATATGCTGAGCGTACAGTATTTTTGGTTTTTACTGTGCGTAGGTGATGTAGCTGGAACAAGTGGAAGTGCAGGACATGGCAATTAAATCCGTTTTGATAAATACGGTTATGTGTTTATTTATTTGCTTGAATAAAAAGTTTGTATTTTATTTTATGACGTTATGTTCACAAACATATTGTGTATTAAACTCGTTTCCGCTGTTTTTAATAAACATTTATATGATGTTTTTATAAGAAATTAGTATATTTCCTCTAAACTCTCTAATTTGGAATAGTCCACGAGACTGTTCAAGTTAGAGTGTTACACACATACTTTTATCATTTTGTTATTTATACTAAACAAGACCGATGTGATAAACAGTGTATCAGGTTTGATCCTGTGTCTCAGTTTGTTCACCCGGCCTCGGTCCAATCTACCCGGGTGACTTTCGTCTGATGTGGGTCTAAATAGGTCTGACCTACATTTCCCTTCTTAACGAGGTCACTGTTGGGGTGAAAGGCTTGCTTTAATATTAATCAAGCAGGCCTTGTCAGGTTTTAATGTGTGTTAGACGTATCCGGTTTGACCGGTCAAATTGTTCACCTTGTTATCTCCCATCCTCTAACTTGTTCAGGTTGTTTTTATGCTCTCTACTTCTTGAAAGACTCGAGCCATGTTTTGGAGACATCTACACTCTTTCGTATCATGTGAATTCATCTTGTGGTAGGTACAATACCTTTCTACCCGAGACCATTCTTGACCATCCTTTTCTAGATTTTGGACTTCATAACACTTCTCATCCTGAACCTCATTTGTGATTAGGGCTGGACACGGTACCGGTTCGGTACCGTCACCGGAAATGGTACCGCCGGTACCGAGCACCGTGACGACTACCGGGACGGCTTAACGGTTCCGAGAACTGGCACCGGTATCGCCACATCCGGTCTCGGTTCCGGTGCCCCAAAATCGTTACCGGCACCGCCGGTACCGGTGCCGGTTTCGGTACCGGTTATATATTTTTTTCTCCTTTTTGCTCTCCAACGGAAACCTGCAAAAAAAACAAAGTTAGTGGGGGGGCCGGCCAAAACGGCTAATT